GGCCCGTCGTACCGTGTTGTAAGCCCGCGGGCCCCACGCGGTACGAAAAAACCTCACCCCCTCAGAGCGTTGTCAGCGTTACCGATCGATCATCCATAATTTTTATCGATTTCCAGCTGGAGCTAGAGACGGCGCCAGCAGAAGGTATCCCGTGATGGTATTCGTTCATGGCGAGAGCTACGAGTGGAACAGCGGTAACCCGTATGATGGCTCTGTTCTTGCCAGTTATGGTGGTGTCGTTGTGGTAACGATAAACTACAGGCTTGGGATCTTAGGTGAGTATTATATCAATTTTTATTTTCGGGGGTTTAGGGGACGGGATTTATGGTGGAGTATTTTACGCTTCGTTCGGATTTTATTCGGAGAATGGGAGGGCTTTTTGCTTCCGAATGGGAGGGCTGTAATGATTCGAATGGGCGTCCTTATTCATTTTTTGTCTAGGGCCATCGCGACCGCGATGTTGGTGCCTTCCTATTACACGGAGAGAAATTTTCTAGAACAATTCTAGTAGTACTGGAAAAATTCACAATCCACCGGCTGTGCAAAATTCTAGTGCTGTTAAGGGAAAATTTTTTGATATTTCTGGTAAAATTTCTGGGGATTCTGCGAAATTTTCACATAAATACGGGGCAAAAATTCGCGTTTTCCGCAATGAAATTTCTAGTGCCGACACTGGAATTTTTTCCTGGCCGCCTTTTTTCCCGTGCTAGCACTAGAATTTTTCTGAAAAATTTCTCTCCGTGCAGTACCGGGGGCGCAAAGTCAAACGGCCACGATTGGGCAGTACTGGCAGCCCAATATTGCCGCGCCTTTGGTGCCTATCCTCAATCGGCCTTGGTCCAGCCTCGGCGAGCCACACGGAGAGAAATATTCAAGAAAAATTACGGAACTTTTCACGTAATCCGCAAGCGAGAATCGTTTTGAGTGAATTTCTATAGGAACTACTTACTTTTCTATAAGAGAATAAATCTGAAACGTTCAGTAAATTTTCGGGTCTGTCACCGAAAAACTACGAAAAAGTCACGTAATTTTTCTGGAAGTTGTAAAATCTAACAGAAACTTCAAGACTTATTATGCCTCAGAACATGAAAATTCTTGGATGTTTAAGAATTTTTACGAAAAGTTCCGGAAAAATTACGGAAC